GCCGCCGGCGGCGCGGGTGCCGTCGAGCCTTGTGTTGGAGGACATCCAGAGGATCCAGGCGGTGACGGCCCTGGCGCAGAGCCTGTCGGGCCGCAGCCCTACGAGCACCAGCTCGCCTGGGAGCCCGCCAGGCGGCGGCGGGGCGGCAGCGGTGGGCGGCGGCACGGCAGGGGGCGGCGGCGAGGCGGGCGGCGCGCTGCCCAGGGCTGGTTTTGGCAACGAGGCTCCGACGGGCGCGAAGGACGGCGCGCAAGCGTGAGGCTGCGGCGGAAGGAGGCGGATGTCAGGATTGGGGTGATAGCAAGCAGGACCTAGAGCAACTTTCGCGCTGCGCCGCGCATCGCAGGTGGTGGTTCTCGTGCTTTCTGTGTCAAACATGGTTTTCCCGCAGCCGTGCAGCTGTGCTCATCCCTGCAACGGGTTTGTTTTTGTATCCATGAGGACTTCTTTCTTGAAACTGACATGCCTGTCATTAGTTGGTACTATTGATACTACGAAGACAGAGTGTTGTTTTCTTATGATCAGCGCAACGGCGCTTGCTCAACCCACAGAAACCTTGCGCGTGCGTCAACCCCTTGACCTGCGTGCCATTTAGCTCGTGCTTGGGTGCGTGTATCAGACCTGTCCCCACACCAACTCGAGTCGCCTTCCAGGGTCTCCTTTCACATGGCTTTAAGCTGTTAAACATCCTTCCCAGTCGGCCTTCTGTGTGCGGTCTGAAGTCAGGTAGCGCACCCCCAGTCTCAATAAGCAACTGTCTCTTGCTGCAAGCTGATGCCCTTTGCATCGATCGTACCCAGAAGGCATCCACACAGAAGAGCTTCTGCGTGGGAAGGCGGCGTGTTCTTGGGGCGGAGGTGTTCCTGATATCGCCACCTGGGTGCAAGAACACCAGAGCATCACTAAACACCACGAGCAAGGTGACTGCAGTATCTGGTGCAAGCATGCACCTGTTTGCAATTCATGTTGAAATCTGTTCACAACAATCTACACCGCAACTTTGGAACTAGCCTCTGTTGATTACATGCGCGTCTTTTGTTTGACCTCTGTTCCAAGCGGTGTGAGATCAGTATCGCATCGATCTGCTCTTGCGCAGGTCATCAGATGTATCTAATTTTCTGTGATATACGCTGACTGGCCTAGGGTGGTAGGCTGCGCCATACGCAACTCGCGCGTTTTAGGCTCTAGGCCGCAAAGTCAGCATGGGGTTTCTGAAAGAGCTGTTCCAGAAAAAGCTGCAGGATGCGGCGTCCATGGAGGCCCTGGAGGTGGGGCAGCGAGTACGCAGCGAGTACTCCCTGCCGCAGCTGCGAGGCCAGCAGGGTCAAAAGGAGGAAGATGATGGCAGGTGCGTTTGAAGGCCTTACTATTGACGCGTCTTGGACGGCGTGGAGGCTCGCTGCGCGCGCGTGTGCGCATGCGCTCGCTCCCCCTGCTGTTGCCCATGCCGGGTGTCGGCCCGAGTGGCATCCGCCATGGTCAGGCCTGTCAGCAGCTTGGGCCGCCCAGCACAACACTAACAACCAAAATTTCAACCCTCTGAACTCTATTCCGTGTATTCACAGCTGTAGCGGTGAAAGCGCGCAGGGAAGCGGCACCGCAGCGCCGGATGCGACGTGCACTCTCCGCACCGAGCAGTCTGCCAAGTCCTTCAGCTACGTGCCAGTGCGCAAGCGCCAGGTGGAGGCGGCCGAGCAGGCAGCGCAGGCGCATCACGCGCCATACCAGGTGCCGCCGCAGGCGCGTGTCAAGTACGACTCAATCAGCCAGTTCAGCCAAAAGGTGGAGCTTTACCGCGGCAGGTGAGCGCCTGTGGGGTTTCCAGGCGCAGCCAGGGGGCATGACTTCAAGAGGGGCAGCATCGGTTGAGACTGGATACTCTGCGGTGGGTTGTGCACACACCCGCGAAGGCGTAGCGTCCCAGACACGGGCCTTTGCAGTGCAAGCAAGCCCGGCACGATCAAAGCTTGTATACTCTCTCTCTTTCTCTCTCACACACACACACACACACACACTCGCGCGCACACACACACACAGACACACACAAGCACAACTGCACATGCTTGCATACACATACTGTACACATACACACAGTTGATCTCTCTCGCGTGTGTGTACACACATACACACAGTCTTTCTCTGTCACGTGTGTGTACACACGCAAATGTACAGATATGCACGCATGCGAACTGCCCACGCAGACACACACAGACACACACAGACACACACACGTCTGCGCCTCCTCGTCCAAGCCCATCATCCCGCCCTCGCATCCGCCCCTCGTTTGCAGCATCTCCACAGTCCTGAAGGGCGTGTGCGTCGAGACTGGCGGCAAGGTGATCATAAAGGCCTACCACAAGTCGAAGATGCACCCAAAGCACTTCCACAAGCTGCAGCGGGAGCTCTCGTGCATGCGCGTCCTCAAGGGTGAGTGGGCGCATCGAATTGTGCTCCGCGTACGTACGAGTCAGCCAGGGCCCTTGGTGGCACATGCTGATGGTATGTTGCTGTGGCCACCCCTGGCAAAGCGCCTTGACCTGCTGGAGGGTCAGAGGGGAGTGTACGGGAAGCTCTGCAGTCAGTCCCCACCGTTTGCAGGCCTCGGTGACGGCGCATGTTCGTGCACATGCGTCGCAACGCACGCACGCATGGTCGATGCCACCCGCAGGCCCCTATGTCGCTGAGCTGTACTCAAGCTTTGAGGACGTGGCGTGTGTGTACATGATCATGGAGTACTGTGAGGGGGGTGACCTGTTCAAGACGATGCTCATGCATGGGGGCGCCCTGGAGGAGCAGTGGGTCTGCGTGGAGGTGCGAGGGGGGGTTAAGGCTGTGCCTTTTGGGGGAGACGGGTGCAGATCGATGTCTGCACCAATAATTGTGTGTTTGCGCGCGCGTGTGAGTGAACCTGTGTGTCTCTTCACGTGCTTGCGTGTGTGCATGGATGCATAATCGCATGTCTGTTTAGGCATGCGTGTTTGCGCGCATGATTGCATGGTTGAGGTGAGGAGAGCCCATAGGAGTGAGCACCAACGACCAGCCCAGCACGCGTGTCTGGTAAAAGGTCAACCCCGCGGGGCCACAACCCCCACCCCTTACCCCACTGCGACCCACTCCCAAACCCGTTCCCCTGCTCCCCCGCACCGCGGGCCGACCCCGCCCCTCCCCCAGGTGATCGCCCCCCTGCTGCGCATCCTGGAGAAGATGCACACCCTGAAGCTGCTGCACCGCGACATCAAGCCGGAGAACATCTTCCTCACTGGGCTCGGCAAGTTCAAGCTGGTGGGAGCCTTTGGGGAGGGTGACCGGCAGCAGCAGGGATGGGCAGGGGGTGATTGCCCCACGGGGTCAGCTGGTTTGTTTTGGAGGGGCAGCGTTGGAACATTGTTGTGCGCAGGGGCCGGGGATGGCAAACATACTGCGCCAGGCAAGCCTAATCAAGGCAGTTTGATTTCAGCGCCCAGCAACCGCGGACTCTTCCAGGCTGCAGAGTGCAGTACCATGTCAGCTGGGCTGCAGCTGCCCGTTCCGCCGCCCAGGGCCGTGGCAGCCGCACCGTGTTTGGTTTCCCTCACAGCACTCTTCTAAAACCACATCCCTGCTTCACCCACCCCTTGCAAGGGAGACTTTGGCCTGGCCATCAAGTACGATGAGGAGGTGCCCTTCAGCCGCAGCGGGACGCTGGACTACATGGCTCCAGAGGTGACGGGGGTGGGGGGGCTTTGAGGTGTCAAAGGTGATGAGCAGCTGAGAGGCGGGGCTGTGGGGCAGCCAGGTTACCTGTCGTGGTACTTTCAGCATGTAGACTGGATGCAAGCCTCCGGTAGGTTTATTTGAGGCCTCCGTTGGCACCCCTGAACCGGTTCCCAGACTCACCCAACACTTCAGAACCCAGGTGACACAATCCGTCGAGCCCCTTGAATGACCCATCCAATCTACATGCAAGCTGGCCCACCCGCTCGCCATCGCCCGCCCTCACATCCGCCCTTTTCCACCGACCCACGCATCATCCTCCCACATCCCATCATGAAAACCCCCACCTGAAAACCCCAGGTCCTGAAGAACCCCTCGGTGCCGTTCCAGGAGGGCCGCTCTGTCGACCTGTCAATGCTTGCCGCGCGCGGCGTGGCGCCCTACGGCCCCCCGGTGGACGTGTGGGCGGCCGGGGTGCTGGCCTACGAGCTCGTGGTGGGCCGGCCGCCGTTCGAGGTGCGCCGGGCGCCGGTCGGCCCCAAAGCAGCGGTTTGATGCATGTGCTGTTGCTGGCGTGCACTGACCCGCTAGGAGCACCGCGGCTCAAGTGAAGGGCCGCTGCACGGCGGCACCCGCGGCGATGGTACCGGTCACTGTGCCTTGCACCTCCTCATGTTTCCCTGCTCATCGCTGATTGTCCGCCTCGTCCATTCCCTCCCCCTACCCCCTACCCTCCCCTTCACACACGCGCACAAAACAACGCCTCCATCCTTTGCTAAGGTCGAGGATGAGGCCCAAACCGCCGCCCTGATCATGTACAGCGACAACATCAAGTTCCCCTCCAGCAAGTGGGTGTCAAAATTGGGCGGGGGCATGTACGGGAGGTGATTTGTGGCAGCAGGAATTGGAGTGGCAGGCAGAATGTCACAAGGGAGTGGGCGAGGGGCAGGGAAAGCACACAGTGCCATGCCCTTGGTAAGTTGACAAGTGTAGGGCCAAGTCGATTTGCTGGTTGCACCTGTGACTGCATCGCGTGCTAGAGTGAGTGGTCCCTCTTCCTCGCGCTCACACCCTCAAACGCACACCCCTGCCCCGCCGCAGGACGCCTCAGTGGGCGGACTTTGTGCGTGCCGCGCTGGTCAAAGCCCCGGACAGCCGCCCCAACGCGTCGCAGCTGCTGCAGCACCCCTGGTGAGGCGCAGCAGCTCGTCCGTCAGGTTGAGGAAGGCCTCAAATATTTGAGGACCCAAGCGGGATGCCATCCTTGCCAAATCTTTCACTGCTTTTGCTATTGCGCCTGCCTGGCAGCGGGGCCTCAAAGCTTGATATTCCTGTCAACAGGGAACTGGTTACAGCCCTTCCCATCCCCTGAACGCAGTGCCCCGTCGCATGGCCCCTGCATGTCTTTCCACCTGCAACCCACCACCCAACAAAGCCCTCACCGCGCCCTCAAACCGCCGCGCAGGGTCCAGCTCAACATGCAGCGCGTCATGGCAGACACCCACCGCCCCTCCAAGGAGCTGCTGCTGCAGGCGCTGCCCCTGGGGCCCCCGGCCGCCGCGCCCTCCGCAGCGGCGCCCGGCCCCAGGTTTGGTCAGCGCACGTCGAGCTTCAACGTCGCCAGCTCTTCCGAAGCGGGGGATGCGGAGGGCGCCTCCCAGTCGGCGGCCGGGCCGGCGGCGGCGGCAGCAGCGGCGGCGGCCCCCAAAAAGCTGCCTCCAAAGCTGAGCGTGTCGGCGCCCGGCGCGCCGCAGCTGCCGGGCAGCTTCCCAGCCACGCCCACCGCGCACATGGCCCTGGCCGGCGGCCTCCACAAGGAGCGCGCCTCCCCGGCTGCCACCGGCGGCGTCGGCGCGCCCTCGTCCTCGTCCCCTGGGGCAGCGGCTTCGGTGTCAGCAGCGGCGGGACCCTCTTCATTGCACGTGCCGTCCCACGTCGGCAGCGCCATGCAGTATGGCCTCCACAGCCCCCTGCCCGGCTCCTCCGGCGCCAACCGCTTTGCTTCGGACCGCGCCGCGATGCTCGGCCCCTCCATCTCCTGCGACGGTGGCAGCCCCGGCGCCGGCCCCAGCCCCAGCGCTGCGAAGCGCCTCAGCCACCTGTCAGGCGCGGGCCCCGCGCCGCACGTCGCCGCCGCAGGGCCGTCCGCGTCCGCGGCAGCGGCCGCGGCGCGGGCGCACGCGTCGTCCCCGGGGTCGCCCCTGCGGCCGTCCCTCAAGGTTGCGCTGCCGGCGGACAGCCCCGAGCCGGAGTTCTTCGCCGGCGGCAGCGGCGGCGGCGACGGCATCTGCTACAGCCCCAGCACGCCCGCGGCCAAGAGCGGCATGAAGGAGCGGATGAAGTTCTACTTCCAGCGCCAGGCGGGGCTGTGACAGTGTGGACGTTCCCGCCGCTGACATGGGCGTGGGGGCGAGCGGCCGGCGTCGGGCTGGCCGGCGCGCTTTGGTGCCTCACCCTTTGTTTGAGTAGGGCGCGGCTGCGCTGGTCGGCTGGGCCCGCACCACCTGGCTGCCGTGTGGCTGCGGACCTGCACGCTTCTATGCGGCAGGGCCCTGGCATCGCAGCCCCTAGGCTCAGCAAGCAGCTTTGGACAGAGGGAAATGGGCGGTGGATACCTAGGCTTTGGAAAGCGGGAGTCGTCAGCGCGCGACGTGTCTATCCACCTTCCGCCGAGTGTGCCCCTAACACCAGCTATCTGGTCTTGAGGCTGCAGGGGTCGCAGCGCCGATGATTCGTCCGACACGTGCGCGGACCGCCGCAGCCGATTTTGCCACACCACCACTTGGCGATCTTGCAACGAGTCTTGGGTGCGCCCCTGAGGCCCCCATTTGTATTTCTTTGGCATCATTTGGCACAATCATTGGAGTGTCGGTCACACTCAGCGCTCTGAGGGGGGTCGGCTGGGGTGCGGCGCAGGCAGATGCAAATTTGCGCAGCCGCAGTTTGCACTTCCCACCCGTCCCACCATAATCTTGCTTCCTTCCGAGCCATGCAGCAAGCATTCAAAGGGTCCCATTATCCGCCGAAACCGGCAATGTGTAACCCTCCTCAACTTTGCTTGTGGGCCATGGGAGAGGAGCAGGGCAGGGGTGGGCCATGGCATGCTGCCATGTGGCACAGACTTGAGGCAGCTGCAAAGCCATGAACCACTCATCCTGCAGAAGCCCTCCTCAGGCAACCGATGCACGCGCTGCTTGCCGCTGACTCATCCTGGTGTGCTGCCAGCAACTTGAGCACCACGCCTTGTCACATTCGCATGCGCTTTCCTGCTGTCTTCTGCACCTCTCGTTACGCATGCGTGCTGCGTCGTTTCAGCGAGCGCCCCAGCCCCAGCACCCAAGAACAGCGTTACCAGGTCTGCCACAACTACTGACTGACGCAAGACAGGGCGTTCAACGGGGCTTGGCCGCAACGCGCCACAGCAAAAGCCGGCCGTGGCCGCCGGGGTAGAAAGACCCACAAATGGCGCTCACGAGGGGGACTCGTACGCAACAACAAAGAGGAAGCATGGCGGGAACCCCTCAGACCAAATCCAGGGAGCTTTGACCAGATCCAGAAAATCTACAGCTGTGAGGGACTGCTCGCGCTGTCAGCACGCCATCACGCCAGCCTGCTCCGCTTCGGCACCTTGTCTGCAGCCCCTCCCCCGGCCGCTCCAGCGCCGCGCTTGCCGGCGAGGCTAGGCTGGCTGGTGGTCACGCTCGTGTCCTGCAGGAGGCGGGTCGGTCGATGCCAGTCAAGCATCTATCCGCTATGCCGCGGGTGAATGCTTCAGCAGCAGCAGCAGCAGCAGCAGCAGCAGCAGCAGCAGCAGCAGCAGCAGCAGCAGCAGCAGCAGCAGCAGCAGCAGCAGCAGCAGCAGCAGCAGCAGTAGCAGCATGGGCGCCGGCCATGCGACAAGCCAATCAAAGTGCAGCTGCGACATCATGTGGCAGGCGCCCCATCACATTGGGCCCCCGCCAGCGCTGCGGCCAGGCCCCCACCCCTTTCTCACCAAGGGTGCCGCCCCGCCGCCGCTGCCGCCCGCGCCGCCGCCGCCGCTGCCGCCCGCGCCGCCGCCGCCCGCGACCCCCACGTTGCGACGCGCGCCGCCCCGCGCCCCGGTCTCGCAGCCGTTGACCTTAGCGGCGAACTTGAGGGAGCAGAGGCTCTCGCCGGCAGAGGCGGGCTCCGGGTTGACGTTGACAAACATCAGGGTCTTGCCATTCCCGCCCAGGCAGGGCTGGAAGATCGGGGTGTGTGCCCAAGGCGTGCAGGGCGGCCAGGTTGGGAAGGTGTGGGCCACCAAGGGAGGTGAGGGTGGCGCATGCTGCCGCTGCGGCACCCAGGCAAGCAGGAATGGTGCCGCCGCGTGTGCTGCCCCGAGCACCAAGAGCCAGGCTGGACGACAGGACCTGCCGCTGCAAGTGCGCGTTGCTAGCACCGTTGCTCGCAACACACCCCTTTGAGAAACACACGCGCGCGCACACACACACACACACATACAGCCGCAGTCACACACAAACACACACAAACACACCCACACATACACACAGTATGATGCATTTAATGTAACCGCACGCGCCTGCAGGAGGTAGGTGAGCTTTGAGTTGCGGTAGGGCACATGTGCGCTCTTGGACGAGAGGGCCGCGAAGACGTCCCCCAGGGCGCTGAGGGACTGGTTGATGCTGCAGGCCTCCTTCTTGCGCTGCTGCTCCGCCAGGGAGCGGTCCAGCCTCTCGCTGAGGGATGAGAAGTGCGAATGAGAGGGTGTGCGTGCGGGCGTGCGTGTGTGCGTGTGTGTATGTGTGTATATGTGTGTGTGTGAGTGTGTGTGTGTGTGTGTGTGTGCGCGCGTGTGCACATGCATGCGCGCATGTGAGTGTGTTTGTATATGTGTGCATGTGTGCAGGCGCTCTCGGACATGTGCTTGTGCATGCGTGCGTCGAGGTTATATGTGTGCACGTGTGTGATGTACACAGCGTTGCAGCAGGCACGTATAATTTATCAGTCACACGCCCCACGCCGCCCCCAGCCGCCCGCCCCCTCACCTGCCGGCCAGGTCCACCAGGCACAGGCAGCCGCTCAGACGCGTGTTGCTCGCCGCGTGGACGCCCGTAATGTACAGCATGAACACGCAGTGGCTCCTGCTGCTCACAGAGTTCATGGCCGTTTCCGCGCTCGCGCGCGCCTCCCCCGCGCGCCGCACGAGCTCGGCCGCGTGCGCGGCGCCCGATACGGGCACGCGGCTGGCGCCGGCGACGGTGGTGTGGCCGCCGGCGGGGTCGTGCTTTATCGCGTTGGCGTCGGGTATGCGGCCGGCCTCGGCGCTGCGCGCCGCGCCGTCTGCGAGCAGATCCCTGCAGGCGCATGTGTATGGATTGTGGTGACAGTGTCGCTGCATTGTATCAGACAGATTGCATTGGAACAACATTGCATCGGAACCGCTCACCCAAGAGCATTGCCGAGCCCCCCTCTGCCGCATCCGAGGGGCAGGCAGCCCGCTCGACGCCACAAGGCACCCACATTCTGGCGGCCAGGCGGGGCCACACCTGAGCGTGTTATTGTAGACCTCTATGAAGGACGCCTCCAGCCGGTACTCCCACTCCTGCGCCGCCAGCGCCTCCACGCGCCCCAGGATCAGCTCCACTGCGCGGGGGATCACGCCCGCGCCCTGGCTGGTTGGGGCGCCCTGGAGGGTGCGGGGCGTGGCGCCGGACGGGTGGGTTGTGAGCCGCAGGGCGTGCGCGCGGCCGCGCGCTTCTGGGGGCGATTTTTTGCTGATGTGGGGTTGCATGTGAGTGGGGGGCCAAAGCATGGGGCCCCAGTCCCTGTACGATGACGCCGATTGCAAGTAAGACCCGACGGCCAACGCGGGCGCCCCTAATCAGGTGTGGCTCGCCGCCTCGCCTGCATGGTGTACGTCTTGCCGGCGCCGGTCTGGCCGTAGCTGAAGAGGCAGACGTGGTAGCCGTCCAGCGCGCTCTGCACCAGCTCAGACACCTCGCCAAAGACCTGGGCGAGTGGTTTGAATCGTTTCAAGCAGAGCAAGCAGATGGATTCAATCACGTATGATCCAGCCAAAACAGGGCAGCTGGGTTGTGGCGTTTGGCATCGCCCAGACGGCCTCCGCGAGCGGCACAGCCCTTTCCGCGCCTAATTTCGACGGAAGCAGCTGCCTGCCCGCACCTGCGCCTGCGTGGCCTGCGGCCCGAAAACCCTGTCGAAGCCAAAGGGGTGCTCCTTGCCGTCGACGGCCAAGGACAGCGCGGTGCCGCCCTGCAGGCAGCGCACGGCGCTCTGGGGGTGCGGCCGCACGCGGCAGAACACACGGATCTGCGGCGGCCATAGCGCAGTGGAAAGGCGTGAGGAGCTGACAGAGTGGTTTTAGGCCATTGCTTCTGCGCTTGGCATCGGCCGAGAATGTTACGCAGGCAGGGCTGGGCAGAATATCTCGGTTTTGAAAGCAAGGTGGGCATGCAAAGTCGGGGTTGAGGGTTGGCTCACGTTGCCGCGCAGCTCCACCAATTGGTTGTGCAGCTGCCGCCGCGTCGCCTCGGCGGTGGTGACGGCGCACTGCAGCGCGCCGACCCGCGACAGCAGGCGGCCGACGATGTCCCGCTGCTTCCCCTGAGGTGCGGGGGCGGGGGCGGCGGCGGTGGCATGAGCGTGGCGCCAGCAGATGGAGCCCTGCGGTGCTGAATCCATCTAGCCTGCGACTGCTATCCGCCAGCGCATGATAGACACACCCCCTTTGCTTGCAAGCACCGCACACACGTTCATGCAAACAACAGACACACGCGCACATGCACATGCACATTCGTGCATATACACACATGCATGAACCAAAGTACTGTCACATACACGCAAACAGGCATCCTCACCTCGCCCATCACCTCCTGCAGGGCAGCAAGCTCGCCTTCCAGGTGCGCCAGCCGGCTGGCCGCTGCCTCCGCCGCCGCCTCCGACTTGGCGCGCCCCTCCTCTGCCGCCGCCGCCCGCGCCTGCAGCGCCTCGTTCGCCTCGCGCGCCGCGGCCCCTTCGTCCTCGGCCGCGCGCGCCTGTGATCGGTTCGTGGCAGGTCGGAGAATTCAAGACAAAGTACACCTAGATGGCAACCCTGTCAGGACAGCAGGCGGCTCCTGCCACTGCCGGCATGTGCCCTCTGATCCCCCTTTGGCCTACCAGCCCTGATCACCTGGTGCTTGAGATTTGCGTGCTCCGCCTGCAGCGCGGCGTGCTGCTGCTGCAGCTGCCGCAGCGCCGCTTTCGCCGCGCCCCGCGCGGCCGCTGCCTCCCCGGCCTCGGCGCGCGCGGCGAGCGCGTCGGACTGCGCGGCGGCGCGGCCGGACTGCTCGGACCGCAGCTGCTCCTGCAGGCTGCCGGCCTCCTCGGCGTGGCGCGCCCTGTCCGCGGCGAGCGACTGCTCGGCAGCTTCCAGGCGGGTGCCCTTCAGGCGCACGTCGCCCTCGAGCAGCATCACCTGGTTTTGAGAGTGTGAGACAGGCAAATACATCAGGAAGGCAAGTACAACGGGCGAGCACGTGAACACGGCCCCAACACATGCAATTGAAACGAGCGGTGCGCCAAGCAAACATGGAGCATAAACCCCATGAACCTACGACGTGCTTTGTGGCGCACAGGCAGCGTGGCAGCTGACGCAGCAAACGGCCCGCCGCAGCTCCCTGTCGCAGCTCCCTGTCCGCTGCCACACCTGGTCGCGCGCGGCCCTGAGCTCGTGCTGCAGCGCGGCGCGATCCCCCTGTGTCGCGCCCAGCTGAGAGCGCAGCTCGGCCACCCGGCCCTGGGCCTGTGAGGGGTGCGGCGCACCAACACGCGCGCGGGCGACACGCCACCGATGAATGCTCTGGTGCCAACCAGGGTTGGCGCGCTGCTCGAGGTGGCGCGTGTGCTCGTCTTGTTGAGACGCATCGCTTCACTTCAGCAAAATGTCCCTCCAGCACAACGCAGGGGCGGTACGCGGCCCACCTGGGCCAGCTGCACCCCCAGGGCGGCCTCGGCGGTCTGCTTGCCCTCCAGGCTGGCCTGCAGGCTGTTCTGAGACGCCTGCAGCACGGCCAGCTGGCCCTGCAGGCCGGCGGCCTGCTTCTGGGACGCGGACAGGTCTTCAGACAGCGCCCGCACGCGCTCCTGCCACCGGACAGCCAGCGGCGGGGAGGCGGGCGTTGTGGCCGTGCAACAGACACGGCACCGCAGCATCGCGCCCACGTCAACTTTTGCGCTAGTTGCGACAACCCTCCCCCCCTGCCCCATCTCCCTCCGCCTCTGGAACAGCCCCCTGGCCAGCAGCGCTCGCACAAGTGTATCAGATTGCAGCAGACCCTACACAGCCGTTGCAATCACTCCTTTGACTCCCAGCCTCCCGCCCCTCACTCACCCGCAGCTCCTCCTGCGCCTTCTCAAACGCTGCGCGCTCCTCCTGCAGCGCGCGCGTCGCCTCGCCCTGAGTCATCTGGACGTCCCTCACGCGTTGATCCCCCGACTTCCGCAGCTCCTGTGGGGCCGCCGGACATGACCAATTCCAGGAGATGGATCGAATAGCAGAAGCTGTACTCGAGCCACGCGGCGCAGCGCCAGCCGCTACCCAATGCGCAGCACTCGCCCAGCCCGCACAACGGGCCTGCTCCGAGGCGGCAACTGGCCCCGGTGGCCCCTTCGCTCTCCAGGCGGGGCGCACCTTGACCTCCGCCTGCAGCTGGATGCGCGCCTCGTCAGCGCGCTGGGCGTCGTCCCTCGCGCGCGCGCGCTGCTCCTCCAGCGCCTCCACCTCGCGGTTCAGCCGCGCCACCTGGCGTTCATTGATTGTATTATTCATTGCAGTCGCAGGTCATGCCGGGTGCAGTGGAAAAGCAGGGGGGCGCGGTGCAGGCAGACCGACGGACACGGAGATGCGGCGAGAGAGTTGGGCGCGCAGCGCCGCAGCCTGCAGCAATCCATCCTTTTTGGCTGGGCGTGCTAAAGCAAGCGGTCAGGGTTTGTGCCGGTGTCCCCAAAAATCTCACCTCCATTTTGCCCATGTCGACCTCCGCCATCCACTGGGCCCGCTCCGTTTTATAGCGGGCCTCTGATTGCGCCGCCTCCTTGCGCGCCACCGCCGCATCGGCCTCGAGGCGCCGCTGGGCCGGGCCGCTGACGCGCGCGTCGGATGCCTGGGAAAATACAGGCATGCCAATGTGTGTGTGTGTGTGTGAATGTGTGTGTGCATGCGTGTGTTTGTGTGTGTGCGCGCGCACGCATATGCATGTGCTCGTGGCGTGGTATGTATGTTGAATGTGGACAAGTATAATTATATACATGTTTATATACATGTACATATGTCCCCACTCGACTTGTTCACCCAGATCCCCGACTACCCACCTGCGCGTCCAGCACCTCCCTCTCCAGCCGCACGCCCTCCTCCACCAGCTGCGACGTCTTGGTCAGCGCCTCGCGCAGGCAGCGCCGCAGCAGCTTCACCATGCCTGCAGACAGTCCGCACGCGGTCGCAGGCGGGCGGGAAACGTCAAGCCCGGCTGAGATTTCAAGCCGTCCCCCTGCCCCCCGCCCACAACAGCCGCTCGCTCGGGCGCCACCGCTTGCAAAGACCACGGCGCAGTGGCTGCTGCGCCGCGCCCGCGACCAACGGCCCCTCGCCAGCCGCGCGCCGCCTCACCAGCCAGCTCCAGCATCCGCGACTGCGACGTGGCCCCCTCCCTGGTCTTCCTGAGCTGCGCGCCCACCGCCTGCTCGCACATCCTCACAAAATCCTCGTCAGCATCAAACGCCTCCGCCGCCGCCGCGCACAGCGCGCTCCCGTCGTGCCTGCCGCCGAAGCGGATTGCCGCCAGCGCCGCTGCCGCATCCGATTGCTGCGCCTGTGCGCCGCCCTCGCTCACGCTCGTAGCCTTGGCCTCTGCGGCGCCGTGCGGCTGCGCCTCGTCCGTGCCGCCGCATGCCAGCCGTGCGGGCGGGCCGGCCGCGGCGGCGGCTGCGGCCGGTGGCGCCGGTGCGGCTGCTGCTGAAACGCCGCCGCGCAGCGAGTCGCGCTTCAGGAGCGCCAGCTTTTGCTGGAGCGCGTCATACTCTGTTTGGAGCCTGTCCATGCCCTGCTGCGGCCTGCGCGCAGCCGACAGGCGGCGCTTGGCGTAGCTCACAGGCACATGGAGAGGGGACGAGGGCGTTGGGGCCGGCGGCGGCGACGCCGCAGCCACGCCCACGCCCTCGGCGCCGGCGAGAGTGCGCTGCAGCGCGGCGGCAGCGGCGCGGGTCGTGCGGGCTGGCGTCTCGGAGGGCTGCTGCTGGTGCCGCGGCAAGGGCGCGGGCGGCAGGCCACCAGGCACGCTTCCGCGCGTGGCGGCGCTGGGGTGCGCTGCAGACGCCGCCGCCCCCGTGCCCGCTTGGTGCTGCTGTACTGTGAGCAATGACGTGCGTCGTGTTGTCGGACGCTGGCCCTGGGAGAGCCCCAATGGTATGCTGGTCGCCCCGTTGAGGATGCTGCCCGTGCCCTTGGCGGTGGCGCCGCGTGCAGTTGTTACCCCGCCATGATCCGGCGGATTGGCTGGCTGCGACGTGGGAATGGATCGCCTAGTCGTGCGCTTGCTGGCATCTGCCGCTGCCCTGGACGCTGGTTTCTCCGCATCGATGCTCTGTCCGGCCTTCGCGAGGCTGGCCTGGCGTTTGGACGGGTGATCCGACAGACTATGCAGGTTACTCGAAATGGGCTGGAGTGCAGAGCGCTTCCGGCCGGCCTGCTCCATGGCTGGCGTTGTCGGTGCGTCAGCTCGCCATGTCAACAGGGCATTGCACGAGTCCGTCGAACTGATCGATGAGGCAGTACGACTGTATATGATAGCAATTGTCCGCAGGGAAGAGGGCCCAAAAGGCCAAGGTCACCCAGGACCAGTGACATTCAAGCTGCAGCGGCGCACGCACAGTCAACCTTGCTTCGCCGCGCCCGATTTTGGCCCTGGCTCCGCCATATCACCTCAACCTGACCGCATGGTCAATTGAGCTGGGCACACCTTCCGTCCAACATGAGGGAGGTCAAAGCTGGCCGCCGTCTCACATACCTGGCCGCCGCCGCCGTCTCACATACCGTACGGCGCATGCTGGCTAGTGCAGCCACCCTGGGGTGGAACAAGGGGCCTGCCGCTTCACACGTGCCCTGGCGCATTGTACGTCCTGGGTGACACACAGTGTTGCGCACGCACCATCAGTGGGCCTCAAATGCTGTGACTGCCAACAGCATCGATTGGCCTCACTAGCCACTTGTAGCTGGCCTTCTCCCTGGCACAAGCTCCAACCAGTCACACGCCCATGTTTTCAGCATCCCTCCTGGCTTGCTCGCCAGCACGCAGCCTCAGCCAGTTACTCCATCTCTCCAAATTGAAGGTGTCACCCAGAATTTGCTGGGCATGCACTTCCGTCGCGAGGCTTTGGTGCTGGCACGTTGATTTACCATTTCTCCCGGAAAGGCAGGGCGTGCCTGTGGCTTTTGCTTTGCAATACTTGATCCTCCTTCCTTATCCCGCAACACACACCTCGTTTGCTGCAACGGTTTTAAGAGTGGGATCAGAGGGCAGGGCACCAGGGGGCGGGGGGCTCTACCCCGGCACCCATTTTGACTGATCTCACCAGCTGTTCACCTGCTGTTGAATGCGCAGCCAATTGAGGGTCCAAAAAGTCGGCGGACCACAGGTGCACCCCCATCAACCTGTGCCCTGTGGGCCATGGCTGACTTGCTTGGAATGATGCGCATTCTCGCAGGACTGAAGGGCAAGGCCTGGTGGTGGCGTGGTTGCGGCCGCGCACCTGACTGCTTTAGTCGAGTACAGTAGTGACACGTGGTGACAAGTGCTGCGGCAGTTCGAGTTTGTTCCGAATGCAACAGCATGCAACATTTCTCCATCACCTTTGAAATCAAGCCATCTTCCGAACGATCTCAGTGTTCAGTGCCAAGTGGGCTTCGCGCCCCTCCGTCAGACCATCCCAGAGGGGTGGCTCGCACATCATAATTGCAGTCATTTCGTCACAGCCGCACATGCGGGTTTGGCAACTGCAGCGCCAAAGTGGCGACTGCGCTGCTTTTGTGCACCCAACCCGCCGCACTCCTGTTGGTAGCCCAGGGAGGCGGCTTGCGCCCGCTCTGAGGTGCAGTGCTTTGCTAGAGCATCATGCAGCTGCGGCGGCCAGCTGCATCAGCAGCCATACCATCATCAGCAGCATGTGGGACCTCGCAGACGAGGGGCAGCAGGCAGCAAGTGGAGGAGCGGACGCGGTGATCTCAGCTGCCGCATGGGCAGTGGTACTGGCCGCCGCTGGGTTCTCCATCTATCAAATGGCAGGGTGAGGCTTCATGTGGGCGGCGCATGTCGGCATCACCTGCGAACTTCGCTGCGCTACTCACCGGCATTGCCCGGAGATCCCCGAGACTGTGCGTACGCTGCCACGGCGTCGGGGCGTGTATGCCTTGACTGCATGCGCTGCATGCGTGTCTTGGTATCAGCATGTCAATTGTACTCGTTTTGCCTCTTATGCCCTCGCACTAACGCTGCATGCCATGATTCGATCTCATGTACCCATGCCAGGGCATTCTTCCAGGCCAAGTCCACCATAGAGCGGCGCGAGGAGCGGGAGAAGGAAAAGGAGCGCCGCGAGCTGGAGGAGGCAGAGGCGAAAAAGCGCAAGATCAAGGAGATGTTCGAGCGGCTGTGAAGACGAGGAATCCACAGGCAGAGCATTGCGGTGCGACGCTGAAATGCATGGTGTTGTGGGTGCACGTGCATCTCCAACTATTTTACACCTCCTGTCCGCCCTGGAACTCAAATTTCGGATGTGGACGCTTTTCAGTGTGTGGACACTGCATATCGTGCGTCATACTGACATTTTGGTGCAACAGCAGTGCACGCGCTGATGCGCGCCAAGTGTTGCGGTGGTTTTTGTGACTGTCTGCCTGCCTCCACTTTGTAGCAGACTCCAACAGCGTTGTTATTTTTTTCACTCGATATTACATCCTAGTCGTACTCTGTTCCACACACATTTCACGCGGTCGTCGCTGGTCAGAGTGCTCTGGAGTTCGCATCGCTGGGGTCTGCGCCTGCGCACACGGAGTCAAAATAGAAGTATTGTGAGTATCATAGCAATGGAAACATTGGGCCCATTTGTGGGCCGGCACAACACTGGACATGTGCGTTTTTGAGTTTTACGCGGTGGTAGTGAGGCACGGTTTATGTGGATGCTCCGTACCAAACAAATGCATGTATATGATGTATGTATACTCTTGCACAACCCGAGAGCTGGACGCTTGCCGCACAACACTCGTGCCGCAGCGAGGGAGACGCAGCATCGGAGCAGAGGAGAGCGCGGGCGCAGCCCCGGCGTGACGCGCCAGGATGAGCAACCCTCACAGGCCGGCCAGCGCCTGGCTGAGGCAGCTGCAGAGAGCAAAGGTGCGACCCTCAACGCAGCTGAGAATTACCAGGCGCGTGAGTGGTCGATGGGGTGCAACAACACTGATGTCGAGCAGCGCATAGCATGACGCCGCAAGCCATTCCACCACCCTCATCCCCTTGTGTGCCCGCTCATTTTGGTATGTGCTGTGCATCAGGCTGAGAGTTCAAGCAGCTCAAAGCCCAAGACCACCATACAGGACCTCATAGAGCGTGCCAATGGTGAGTTGGGATGGGTGGCGCTGCGTTTGATTGGGTTTGGTTGGGTTGGGTGGTGAGGGTTGCCAACAGAAGGCGTCTGTGTGTGCGATTCACTCCCTCACCCCCTCAAGGGGCAAGCCCCAAGCCGCCACGCCAGCACCAGCCGCCTGCAAAGCATGGCAAGGCCAAGTACGCCCCCAGCCCGCCGCGCCTGCCACCCAGCTGCCACCCTCCGTCCCCGGCCCCAAGCGCGGCCC